TCTTCGGACTTCGCCGACGTCTTCCTGTGCGCCTTCGTCGCCTTTTTCGCCATCATCGTGTTCGTCTTCAACACAGACGTCCCTTCGCCTTCCACCTTGTCTTCGGAATGCGCCGACGTCTTCCTGTGCGCCTTCGTTGCCTTTTTCGCCGTGATCGTGTGCGTCTTCAACACCGATGTCCCTCATGCGTCTTCTTGTGCGCCTTCGTCACCATCTGCGTTGTCGCGCCGTCGAAGGCCTTCGTAAACGCCTTGGTGGGGGTGCTCTTCCGTCTTCGTCGACTTCGACGTCGTGCTCTATTCCCCCATCATCGCCGCTCTTCTTGGCGGTGATACGGGCCATCACTCCACCCACCATCCTTGCGTGTCGTGGAGGGTGTGTCGCGCGCCATGGCGTCCCGAGGTTCTAGACGCGGGAGGTCTGCAGGGAAACAGGCGGTCGACGCGTCTCTCTGGGATAAAAGGGGCCGCCACGTGTCAAACACATAGAGGAAGCTCGTCCAAGGGGCCTCTGCGAAGGCGATACATGCAGACGCGGAAGACTGGGTGGCGGAGGGGGACGATTCACACGGGGAAAGCGACTTCGCCGAATCGGAGGAAATCCCAATGAAGCGCAAGTCCTCCAGAAGGCAGATCGGAGCCCTCCGGATCGATGACGTCGCCGAGAGGCGTAGCGCAGGGGGCCGCGGGGCAAGTCAACAAGACGCCAATGTTGCCGCTCGTCCGGTGACGGGCCGAGCCGGGGGGAGTGTCGCCACGCAGCAGAACCGTGCGCCTTTGCCACGTGTCAACGAACCCCCTGCCGCGCAAGAGGTGTTCGTCCGCGGCCGAACGCCATCGACCCCGCGACAAACGACGGCCACAGAAGTCGGCGTCGCCGCACAAGGCATTGCTCAGGGGATCGCCAACCGATCTCCTGCGCATGACAATCGCGGGGAGTCGACGGTGGTTGCGGCGCGCGCTGCGGAAGTGCCAAAGGCAGGCGCCGCAACGGCGGGTGGTGCGTCCCAGGCTGGTGAAGGGGGGAGGTCAGGCGGGGCCGCAAATGTGGGGGCTTCGCATGCGGTGGAAGGAGCCAGGGCAGGTGGGGGGAATGCTGGCGAAGGGAGAAGGGCAGGCGCCGTCGCTAGAGTCGGGGAGGACGATGAAGCGCTGGAGAACAGGGTGTGGCAGCGGAGTGCGTGTGAAGGGATCGACGTAGCGTCCAAACTGTGCGTGGACGACATTCATTTCTGGAACGAGACGGAGGGAAACACCATTGTCAGGCTCATGCAGGAAGCGCGACTGTATCTTGTGGCGGTGGCGCGGGGTGTGCAGCCTCCTGCGATTCGACGCAGCATCGTCCTGCCACACACCACCATCCCGCAACACAAAATTGACGACGAATCGGAGTTCAGTGCTGCGCAATACAGGGCGCTGAAGGTGCAGACCATCGCTCTGCGGGTGATCCACGGGTGGGTGTTCAAGTCCGCGAGCAGGCAACGGGGTTACCACGCTGCGCACGGGTACGCGCGGAACCATGCGGTGACAAACATCGCGCGCGCGATCTGGATGGGGGAAGACAGGGGTGTGTGTGTGAGCCCCATGGTTTTCCACACTACGCTTGACATACATCGAAGACAGACACAAGGACGACGAGTTGGCGGCGTATCAGGAAGCGAGCGTCCAGAGACTGGTGGGTGCATTCACGAGCGCCGTGAGCACGGCGGAGGGAGTCGACGGTCGTCGGGTGTCACATGAGAGGCTGAAGATCGTAGCCAAGGCGATGTGGGTAATGCTCGCCACGACGATGTGGCTTATGCGGATGGGCGGTGACGATCGTCGCGCCCATTACGACGCGTGGGTATTCGTCCAGCTGACGGTGAAACCCACATTAATCGCATCCATGCATCGCTCGTTCGACGCGCGTCACCACATCGTGCAGGCCGCAACTGCCATCACGGACAAGCTGGCGAAACCCCCGATCACCTTGCTGGCCCCTCCAGTGTACATCCCGGACTGGGCGTCAATCGGCGTGAAATTCTCGCACGACGCCACTTTGTCTTCCCCAATGGAGGCTCAAAAGCTCGATTGGTTGGGCACGGGGCCACCGGAAGACGACGATGACGCCGCTGTCAATGACCATATGAGCGCGGGGGGTTCATGATGCCTTTGGGTGCGCTGGGACAGGTTTGATGAGGTGGGTGCATGTGTGCACTTTCATGTAGAATTAGAACAGGGTGTGCGCCAGGGTTTGCTGCTACTGCGGACGACGTCGGTGGTCGTTGGAGGTGGACGTTTCGATGTTCGGTGTCACAACAACAAGCGCATTCGGGCTGGGGGTTTCTTTTGGACTTTTGTTTTGATTAACATGTTCATCCTTCAGTTAGGAGTTTTTTTGTTTTTCTTCGGTTTTGTACATGCGAGCAATAAGGGTGGCAATGATTTTTTGTTCTTCGCGCCTGCGTGGTCCACTTTGGAGCTGTCATGATCCGTTGGCGTACACATTCACAATGGGATATTTTGTTTTCGAAGATTGAATGCTTGGAAAAAGTGCTAACGGATGTTTGTCCACACACATCATCACGCATGTTGGAAGCGAATGTGGCATGACAAACAACAGACAACCCCATCCTGCAATTGTGTGTATGTCGTTGTTGGTGAAGGAGAAAGACAAGCCGCACACCATCCACGCCGCAGACAATAAGGAACATGGCAGATCGCTGTGTGTGAGAACA